TTGCCTTCGGAAATTGGAAGAGATGTCCAACTTCAAGGTTTGAGTTGCAAGAATTACTATAATCAAGCCTCACTGTCACAACAAAAACATAACCTTTGAGGTTGTTAGAGGATAAAATAACATTTCACTAACTTCTGCCTGCCTCTAGCTATGCTGGGGTAGAAAGAGGCTCCTGCTTTTTTGGTGTTATGTACAGTAAGTGGGTTCCTAGGGAAGGAAAAGAGAAATAAATGATGGAGTGAAGTCAATATTCCTGATCAATCAGCAGCTCTGAACAAGTCTCCTTTTGACATGCCCCCAGGCTCCAGCAATCCCTGACCATCAACAAGACACTTATCCAGGGCCTGGTAGAACTCTGAGAGAGCCAGTAGCTGCATTCAAAGGTGTCTCCAGGGCAAGGAATGAACTTCTGGAATGTACAGCTGAGGAGAGGGTGATCATTTATTTTTTTAATCTGACGTGCATAGGTGTACATCCACACAACTGTACATTCCCTTCTGAAGTGATCTTGTGGGGGGGACAAAAGGATCACTGAGCATATTTAAACCCCTCAGGGCTGATAACCAAGATGTGTCACTGAGCAGCCACTGCTCCCCCAAACTACAAATCACCAAAAAAGCCAGAAACTCTCACAATACCAACCTCTCCAGGCAGAGTTTTGTACCACAAGAAGCCAGAATGAAGAGCTATGAACAGCTCTGGCAGATTTCTAACCAGTGCTCTTTCAAGGGCCACTTCCCCAGGAGCAGACTGTGCATGGGCACTAAGGGACAGGCTGCTCCCAGCCCCCTCTTCCTTCAGGACAATCCTTCACCTGTCCAGCAGAGAAGTTCTGAACGAGGCAGCACCTCAACCTTCAGCAGCAAACAATTTCCAATCAATTCTGCAGGTAACAAGCCTCTGCTAAGAAGCCATTTATCATTCCTGTGGAAAATGTTACAAGCAATCACCGGGAGAACAAGGCAGTGTGAATTACCAGGAGGAATTGTCCACCAAGGAAAAAAATCCATTAGGCTGTGACAAAGGTCAGATAACATTGTTTGGACCCAGCCATAATTCTCTCTTATACCAGATTCACATTAAGATTTTGTGTAACAGGAAAGAGAAAAAGTGCAGGTGTGGGCAGCCCTCAGCCTCCTCCCCTGCAGTCCAGCTGAGGAGCATCTGCATCAACTCCTGGTCAGAAGAGCCAAGCAAACTAACAGATTAGAATGTCTCTTTTTATTTAAAAGAAGACATCATGCCTGAAAAACCTGAGATATCAGACACAGGCTTAGGTAACAGTCCCATGAGTGATGAGCATTATGGAGAAGACATGTGGAATGGCTCTGGGGAAGCACAGACATCCACAGGTGACCTGAACAAAGAAAATACCCAAAGACGTGGCTGGGAGAGTCTAATCCTCTCCTATCTCTCCCTTCTGCCCTCAGAGAGGTTAAGAGTTGGTAAATCCCTGGGATGATACCTGCTTATCTACCTGTGCACAAGGGTGATTCTGTGGGAGCACAAACACACGCTCACTGAACACCCCACTGCTGTTTTCAGGAGGCCCCTCTGTGCTAAATCACCAGCCAGATCCAAGAGAACGCACAGAAAGTTGCTCAAACAAATAATTTTAGTTATTCAGCTTGGGTAGTGCAGAAGTGCATTTTCCAAATGGCTTAAATTTCCCTGGATCTCCCACTCCAAACACGACGGAACGCGCTGGCCTCGGTTTAATCCCGCAAAATTCACCCAGACACTTTCACACCACTGTTGGTCTTGGCTCAGGGCAGGCCCAGGCTAAAACCAGCATTCAGCCTAAGTCACATCTCAGTCACACAAAGGATGTTCCCTGCAGGTCAAAACTGAGGTTATTTATAGGGCAAAATAAGGAAGCCTTAAAAGCACTAAAATACCAAGCGAAACACAGTGTGAGTGCCATTTAAAATGCAAAGTTTGTAGTTCCAGGACAGACGGGAATAAGAGCAACATCCCAATCTTTTGAAGTCAATTACTCAAAGAAATAAACATCAATTGTTTTTTCACATCACCTTATTTTTGTATGAAAATTCCACACGTTATTAAATTGTTTCAAGTCAAACTTCCTCGGTGGCACTTTCAACTCCTGTTTGTTCTCCAGCTTATCCACACACAACAGGCAGCACTGACAACTTCTGGTTACCAGGTCACCAAACCTTGGGCTCGTTTTCCACTTCAGTAATCTGAATATTGTACATTATTTGATAGGAAATTGGAGGGATGTGTTCAGTTTCTTTTTTTCCCCCTGGAATTAGTTGAGTCTCACCTTTAGACTCCCACAATTTAAATATCAACTTCGTCACCTTGCTGATAAAGCAGCTGGGAACCGTCTGCGTCGGGGAATTGAGCTCAACAAGCAAACATTTCCAAAACAAGGTGCCAAATTTGAAGTACAACGTTATTGAGAAATACAAATATTGTCAGGCTTTCAGGAGGCTGGGTTGGAAAAGCAGGTTCAGAGCACTGGGAAAGGGGCAGAGAGAAATCATTAAAACATGAGCTTTAGAGGTTTTTTTTTTTGCACCAAAGCAGCTGGTGAGTTCCAGGTGCCTCCTTCTGAGGGCTTCCCACCCGTGGTTTGACTTCCAACCAAAGCAACTCCAAACAGCTCAAGAGATGCCTGGATCTCTACAATTCTTATTGCATAATAAAAAAAAAAAGGGGCTTTACTATTTGAATTTGAAAATTCTAATTGCCCAACAAAAGGGATCTTATCAAAACATGTTTAAGACATCACTTGTGAATCAGAGGCACAGCTTTCAGCACAGCTTTCTCAGGAAGAAGCTGCCAAAATCCATAGGCTTGTGGTTTGTTGTTGTTTTTTTTTTCAAGGAAACAAGTGGGGAGCAAAAACTTGTTTCTTGAGAATCCAGCAGTGATCTAAACCCACAGGAGGGGTTTGGGCACTGCTGGAATAATTTGGTGAGGGTTTCTGGAAAATCCAGGAGTCCAAGGCCACCTAAACCCACAGGAGGTGTTTGGTCACTGCTGGAATAATCTGGGGAGGGTTTTTTGAAAACCAGCAGTGAGCTAAATGCACAGAAGGTGTTTGGTAACTGCTGGAATAATTTGGGGAGGGTTTCTGAAAAATCCAGGAGTCCAAGGCCACCTAAACCCACAGGAGGTGGAATAATTTGGTGAGGGTTTCTTGAGAATCCAGCAACGACCAAACACTTCTTGTTGGTTTAGATCATTGCTGGAATCATTTGGGAAGTGTTTCTTGAAATTCCAGCAGTCCAAGGCCACCTAAACCCACAGGAGGTGTTTGGGCACTGCTGGAACAATCTGGGGAGGGCTTCTGGAAAATCCAGGAGTCCAAGGCCACCTAAGCCCATAAGAGGTGGAATAATTTGGTGAGGGTTTCTTGAGAATCCAGAAGTGCCCTAAACCCACAGGAGGTGTTTGATCACCACTGGAATCATTTGGGGAGGGTTTCTTGAAATTCCAGGAGTCCAAGGCCACCTAAACCCACAGGAGATGTTTGGGCACTGCTGGAATCATTTGGGGAGCATTTCTGGAAAATCCAGGAGTCCAAGGCCACC